AAATAATTATGACATATGTATGTTAAATACTAAAAGAACAATAGATAATCCCTCAATTTCCGGTATTACTTTTTATATCCAAGTTTTCCTTTCGGCATATTATTTTTGTCCACGTTGTCCATTTTATTGTCGCGCGTATAACTTATAATTGAATAATAAACAGTGAAATAATATGATTTACTCATAAACACTCTCACACGTGAAACGAAAATAAACAGAATACTGAAAACATAAGCTGCGATCAATTAGTTTTTAATGTAAACTGGCGATTTCTAACTACACATAATTAAGTATCGAAAAGAGAGCAATTGGTTAAGAAAAATTATTGCAGATATAATACAGGGTGGGGCATTTTAAACAGGTCACCTGAATAACTCGCTTGTTTTTGAAGATAGGAGAAAATGCATTAGACCAAACTTACTTGGTATCGAGGGGCTCATATATAATCTGGTATTACCAATTTTTCTGTAGGTGGAGGCGTCAAGGAGATATGAAGGTCAATTCTGTTTTTTTAAATGGAACAGTAAGTTTTTTTACTTACAGATAGATAGAGTGTTTCGAGGCGAATAATCACACAAATTTATTTATAAATCTAATCAAAAAATAATGTCATCTATTTACTTGTGTGCAATTTTTATCGTCACAATGTAAAAGCTAAGATCAAGTCTAATGCAACGACCACAACACTATGACCATATGACATTTAGTACGAAAAGTCCAGAAATATATACGACATTTCTAATCCTTCGCTGAAATGTATAAATCTCTGAATTTTTCTTCAAATTATTTTCTAAAACAGATAATTTAAAATTACCGATAATGTTTGAGGATACAGATAAGCGTACAATGTGATTGAATGTTTGTTTATCTTTTGTGACCCGTGTCACGTAATACACACACGTGATACACGAGTATTCGAAAAGTACTCTGAGACAATTTATTTTCTCTTGCAGTTGACTTTGGGTGACCTTGAATGACCTTCATAATACTTACTGTTCCATTTAAAAAAAACAGAATTGACCTTCATGTCTCCTTGACGCCTCTACCTACAGAAAAATTGGTAATACCATATTATGAGCCTCCCGATACCAAGTAAGTTTGATCTAATGCATTTTCTCCTATCTTCAAAAACAAGCGAGTTATTCAAGTGACCTGTTTAAAATGGCCCACCCTGTATATATAAATCAAAGTATTTACGCAATGTACTGTCCACAATTTTCACGTAGAATGAACCGATGTGCCGGACAAACTATTCTTTTTACACTTATCACAGCGTGCACAATTCTCAAACTTGAGAAGCATGCACGAATGAAACGATCAACGGATTTATTGTGACTAGCATTTTTGCTCTACGCATTGTTGCTCTTGGACTAATAAAACTCAGCCTGACAATCTGCCGTAGCTCCTAACAAATGGTAACAGATAACGGATACGAAAAGGGTCACACCGTTGTGAACGATAAGGTGGAACGACAGTGACGAATAGGCTTCCGTGCAGTTCCGCGAGGTTTCCGCGAGTGCAATTCCATCGGCAATGGACTCGAAGCCGCTATCATGCACGGTCCAGAGCAATTCCAATAGGCGATCCATTATCTTAAGCGGCGTCAGCCCCAATCAATTCACCACTCTGCTTTTTCTGATTCTGTCCCGCCTACCTCGGGAGTGCCTCCTTCCTGTGTCCCTTCATTTTCGCAAAATGCTAAACTCCTTCTTTTTTCTTATACCGCGGCTTACGAGGCACCGGCTTACGTTCGCTTTCGAGTACTGTACTTCCTATGGAAATTCCGGTTCTCCTCGAGGGCTCGGTTTGTTTGTTGATACCGCGATTAATTGTCCCCGCGATCAGCCGCGAGCTTTTATGACTGCCGGAATTTTGTGCTCTTCTTTTTTTGTCACTTAACCCGGAACAGCCAAACGTTCATCTAATGATCAGACTGCACATTTTATGCATTTATGCCAAAAATGACTAGGTGAAATACAAACTTGTAAAAACTTTAAAATAATTTAAGTGTACCATCACGTTATTTTTTATATATTGACATAATTATTGGGCTTGGCAAGAAAGTAATTTTGGCATTTCAATGTGAAACAAAACTCAATTTTTTCTATACAAAAAATGAACTTTAATCAGTCAAATATCTTCCATTCTGTTCAATGATCTTTTGCCATCTTTCTGGTAACTTCATGATTCCGCGCTCACAGAACTTCTGGTCCTTAGCAGCAAAAAACTCAGCCAAGTGCGATTTGAGGTCCCATTTAAGCACCAATAATTTCATACGTATCGCTAAAGATGTATGAGGCCTCGCATTGTCGTAGTGGAACACCATTCCTTTACGATTTGCCAATTCTGGCTTTTACTCTTTGATTGCTTCCTCCAATTTTATAAGCTGTTGGCAGTAAACATCTGAGTTGATCGTTTGGTTGCTTGGAAGGCGCTCAAAATACACAACACCTTTATAATTCCACGAAATTGAAAATGCTTTTCTGATGCAATTCACCTTTCTACATGGTTTGTGCTGATTCATCACGTTTGGATCATGATTTTTATCGATTAATATTATTGTAAACGAACCATTTTTCATCACCAGTGATAATTTGTTTAAAAAAAGAGTCGATTGCATTATGTTTGAAATGCGTATCGTAAATACTGATTCGTTGTATTAAGTGAATTTCTTTGAATTCATGCGAAATCCAAACATCGAGCTTCTTAACAAGTCTAAGACATCTAATGTGATATTCAATTGTTGTGTGTGATACATTTAACCTTTTTGCAATCTCTCATCTCTTGCTACCTCTTTGCAATGGCTTTCATTTTTTCATCATCAACTTCAGAAGGTCGATCAACGAAACGTTCGTTAATTTTAAGTGAAGAATCTTCAGAACAAAATTTTTTAAACCAATTCTGATACATGCGTTCCGTTAAGCAATCAAAGCCATAAACTTCACATACCTGTTTATGCCTCTTTGAAAACAAAAAAAGTAAAATGTATTGAAAACGTTTATTTTTGCACTCCAAATTAAAATTGACAGCAAACTAACAGTTGTAAACAAAACTACACGGAATTTGTTTCTATAGTAACCTAAAAATGTCGACTACCAAATCTGAAAACAAAAAAATTATAACCTTATAGAAGAATGACAATACAAACATAACACTATCTATTGGTACAAATCGAAATTATTTTCTTGCCAAGCCAATAAATGAATAAATACATTTTTATCGTACTGCTGTTTCCCATAGTTAACACTGAAACTTTTTATTTTGCATAAGAATTCGTTGTATTTCGTCAAAATGTCCTATCAAGAAAAATATCGCAGACATTTGAAACATCGAAGAGCGCAAAGAACAAACTGCTCAAAGAGCGTTGAACGAGCTGAATGTGTGATTTTTATCCATCGTAGAAGCATCGTAGAATGACAAAATCTATAGTGAAGACCTAGGGCGCGCGAATGTAACATTGTAAATAATTTAAAATCTGTTGAGATACAACGACTTTCAAAGAGACCCGCACATAGATCGCATTAAGATAAGTTTTCTATATCGCCGGATTACATCGTGTCATGTTTTATTTTATGAAACTGAGTTTGCGTTTTTGTTAATTGTAAAAGATATTTATTTTATATCTAAAGTAAATAATTATCACTTATTCTTTACAAAATCTGTTACAGTTGTCAGCACAAATTTTGGATTATTATGCAAGACTATAGTTGCAAGATACATATGCAATTAACATACAATTAACCACAAAGATTAAAAAATATGTTGCAGAGATGTATATTCTTAAGTATAGCAAAGCTTCTTAACATAGGATGAAAATTTGTATTTCTATTTCATTTTTGTATTTTTTACTTTTTTATTTATTTATTTCTATTATTCTTTTTCTTTGTCGTATGCACTAAATAAAACAATATTGTAATATAAACAATCGGTTATATGCTTCACCATAATATGCGTTTTTAATTTAATAAATGACATAGTTATTAAAATATCAAATACTTAAATGTTAACGATATGCAAACTTTATTAGATACATATGAAAAACAAAGTAAAACGAAATATTTACGATGCATCTATATTTATAATTTAATAATAACATTAACTGTCTCACGTTCATAAAAAAGCAAAACTTGATTGCATCAATCTTCGTACTTTATACTTTAGTTTTCATTTCGTATTTGTTTAAAATGACATGTACA